CATAATACCTCATCTCAGAGATATAGAGGCCGAAACGTTGTGAATATAGCAATGGAGATGAAGATAACAGTCCGATAATGTAAATAATGCAAGTAATCATAATACCTCATCTCAGAGATCCAATCAGGTGAAAAAGGTCGGCGCGTACAACGGCCGAAACGTCGTGAATATGACAATGAAGATGAGGATAACAGTCCGATAATGCAAATAATATAAGTAATCATAATACCTCATCTCAGAGATATAGAGGCCGAAACGTTGTGTATATTTTTTTCCTCTCATTCATTACTTTGTACTAATATTTTTTCTTCATTTTTGTTGTTTTGAATTCTTTATTTCCTGTTTAATATTTTTTATTTATTTCTGTTTTACTTTTATTCGTTAAAACTTTCAGTTCCTATCTTTCATGTTCTTCTTTCCTTCTTTTTTCTTTCTTTGAGAATTTAACTCTTCATCACTCTTCCTTTTTTCTTTCTTTCAAAATTTGTTATTTTTTTTCTCTCTTTATCTAAGTTTTAGTTTATTGATTCGCCTCGCCTCACTTTTAATTCCTTCTTTTTTTTCTTCCTATAATCGATTCTTTCGTGTTTTTTTTTCTTTGTCGTTGTTGTTCATTTTTCGCGCTCTTTTCTTTTTTCTTTCTTTTTATTCACTCATTCCTCTCCCTCTTTCCTCTGCTTCCCCACTTTCTCACCCATTTAAAAAAAAAATTCTCTCTTAAATCGCTATCATTTTTTTCTTCTTCTCTTTTCCCCAATCTTTCTCTCCCACCCACTCTTCCCTGTTTCTTCACTTGTTCTTTTCGCTCTCACTTTTCTTTTTGCCTAAATCTTTCAGTGTTGAGACTTTTTTCCCGCACATTTTATTTCCCCGCATATTTTATTTCCCGCGCATTTTATTTCCCGCCTTTTTTATTCTCTTCTTTCTTTCCACTTGTATTTTCCTACTTGTTGTATATACAAGTGATTTGCTTAGTTTTTCATTCTTATTCTAAGCGTACTTTTTAATGGCCATTTTCTGAACTCTTTAACACTACACAGACATGGACTGATTTCTTCCTGAATCTCGTGTTTTACAAACTTTCTTGAAGAATGACAGAACAGAAACAATTCAATCTACTACCATCCGCCTTATTTGCAACACAAAAGCGGAAATTCATCTTATAAAGATAAACTTCCTGCGTTTTCCATATCAAATTATCGTTCGGAAATCATCAAAAAAAGTTACGACAATGAGACAATGACAGACGGATTTCCGGTAGAAGTTATGGATGAGATATTGAATATACCGAGTGAAACAGCAAAATTGTCCAACTCGTGTAACAGCAAAATTGTCCAACTCGTGTAACAGCAAAATTGTCCAGTTGTTAGATTAAGCTTTGAGCCGTTGTATCTTAGAAATGATTTAAGATATTTTACTGGAATTCTCCGAATATTTTTTTAACAATATTGAACACTGCTTTGAGCAATAAGAATTGAATTTATAATTACTCCCCAAACTTAACAGAATAATCGTGATGTAATCGATCATGAACGAAAATTCATCATTAATTAGTTATAGCTAACGGTCAAGAACTCATGAAGGATTGATATAAAGTTCAGACACACACACACACACACACACACACACACACATATATATGTATGTATATGATATATATATATATATATATATATATATATATATATATATATATATATATATATATATATATATACATATATATTTATATATATATATAAATGATCCTGGAATACATATATATATATATATATATATATATATATATATATATATATATATCAGAATCATTTTACAACATATTCAAGGTGATCTTCGCCAATTTCAACGTTCTAACTTTGTGTCCTGGAGTAACAACGTGCCTCATAGGTTTCACGTACAATTTTTTTTTTTCAAGTCTTTTTTTCCACCGCTCTTTGGACTGTCATAGCTGAAACTCCTCTCTCAAGTATGAATTGAGTTGGATTTTTCTAATTGATCTCTTTAGCTCTAAACTGAAATGATGATCCTTCTTGCTGTTGTGAACTCCTGATCCCACCGTTCACATGATGGTTCTTGAATGGACTTTGAAGATGGAGGCCAGAGTATGAAGGTTAGTACCATTACTGATGATCTGAATATTCTTCTTCCTCTCGCCGTGGCTCAGTTGGAAAGACAATGGGTCTGGCCCTGTAACGATTTTAACCAGTTCTCTTTCTAGCTGAATAACTCAAAGATTTTTTCAGTGATTCTTACGAAAAATTGTGTCAAGATGGCTAAATGTCTTATCTGAAAACCTGGAAAAAAGAAACTCAATTAGTTCAGTGGTTTCTTAGATATTAAACATTTTGTGGGATGAATAATTATTCTGTTACACGATTTGGACAATTTTGCTGTTACACTCGGTATATTTAATAGATGCGCGGGCAGTGTAGTATAGATAAGTGGAATCGCGGTATCGAGTTCGAGTTCGAGTTCCGACCTTGCCTATTGCTTTCACTTTCTCACTAATACTCTTGGGAAAGGTATGAATCCATCTCATTATCTATTATTTATAAGTCTAACATCAGAATATACTGCTCTCTTTAAGCACTGAGTGGCAACCAATCTGAGAGAAGGAAAACTCTGATTTCGAAATTAAGGAGACACTCCACTATTTTTCACAAGAACGAATGGTAATTCATAAATAAATAAAAAAAAGAAACAGTGGAGAGTCATTATCGCTTACGTCTTGAAGATACATTGCATTTTTGTTTAAAGACCAGTATATGTACAGAAGTGATATTAGATTGAAACTTTCTGAATGTGCTTCAATTTCATCAAGTTTAAACGTAAATGTTTGATTGATTGATTTGTTTGTTTAATGACATGTCAACACCTTATGGGTCATTTAATGTCGAAATTTAATTATCTTGGGAGCTTTGAAGCAATAAAAATGTGATGTGTTATTCTGCTTTCACAACTGAATACATGGTAGATGATACTCAGCTTTTGTGCATATACATATTTGTGTAGACATAATTAGTAGAGGCGATGACGTGTGTTTTTATGGTGTAGTTTTGAAGTTATTTTGGAATAAAGTTTGATTTAAGAAATTGTAGGATATATTGATTAATATCATGAAAGTGTTCATTTTGATTGTTTGGTATTATTTTAAACAGATTTGGATTAATTCGCTACAATTTGTTAGTATCTGCGTAATTCTACTATAAATAGGTACTGTTGGTAATTCTTTATATAAAAATATATCGCTGGTATTTTTGATATGAAATGTTTTGTGACTTACAGTGGCCGTTAATAATTAAGTATAATTCAATACTTCAATGGATAAGATGAAAGAGTATTTAATTACAAACGCAAACAAATGCTTAACAAGAACAAAGAAGTAATAGTCTATCAAAGATAATTAACCATTTGTTAGTAGTTCAACGTCCGGTAAATCCTAAATCAAAACCCAAATCATCGACGCATAATGATTCACACTAATTCGACTGGATAGTTCCACTCAATAGTCATTCAATCATCACTTCTGACACTACTTTTTATACACCTAGCGGGAAACATATATTCATAAGTCCAGAGTGTCACGTTCGAATCTCGGTGTCGGTAGTTACTTATTTTATTCCTACATGACAAAATGTTCATAGCTGAAAACCTAATAGGTGTGTTATGGTCGGGTTCCTTGTACCACGGTGATAGTCCAAGGCAGAACCAATCAAGAAGAACTCGAACACGTATATGGAATAACACAGATATATTACAAACAGGAATATATACAGATAGGTAGAAAAGTGTTAGTAGGAACAATCAGGTTTAGTAGTAATTGTCTGAACGCAACTCTGATACGGACTGACTCAACTGACTGACTCGCTCTGACTGACTGACTGACTGACTGACTGACTGCTGACGGACTTAACTCCAAACTTCAGATTGAACAGTATTTAGTCACTCACCCCAACCCCACGAGGGCATCATGTTGCACAAGACCGGTTTAACGTGGGATCTCCGAACACGTGGGCTCGGCCAAAAATATGCCCTTTGAACCCGTATAAACGGGTTCAGGGTCGGTTTACCTCCCCGAAAGAGACTCCGCCCTTCGGCGTAGCCTCTTTCGGGTTCCTCTCCGCCCGAAGGCAGAGAGTTCAACCGATCAGCTGGTCAGCCGGTCGCCCGACTTCGGGCTGAACTCTCTGCTTCCTCTTCAGGCGCAGTATTTATTACGTATGGAATAGTCCATTATGTTATTATGGGTAAGGTCTCATAACAAGGTGCTACCCTGCCAGATTAGAGCGGACCTGAGAACAACATCAGTTAAGAGCTAGTTCTAAGCTACCAATCTCCCGATTAGATGCCTTCCTGTCGGATATAATTTATAGTCACACTCAGGACTAAACGTAAATTCAATAATATCTATTGCCCAATTCTAATTCTTTTTCTTGTCAATGCACATAATATTATTCAATTAACGGCTGTCGTACAATCCCCGAAGTTATGCAACTTCAAGCCTGCTCAGTACCTAGATACGTGACCGCTTGGGTGATGTAAGCTTGGATGTGCGGGTGGTGTAATTGATAATGGCTCGAAATTGGAAATCGGTGCGCCGTGTTTCAATTGCAGTCGGGTTCATTATACTTACGGGCAAATAACTTTGGGGAAGTTATGACTCCACTTTTCGGTTAAAACCCGATATACAACACAAATTGTAGCGAACCGCCCTCATTAGCTTCATTAGTGAGTTGTAAGGTCCACTCGAACAGATTCTTCCCGCAAACAGTTGCTTTGAGGAACCAGCTCCCAAGAGTGTGCTTCTCTGGTCACTATAATCTTAACCTGTTCAAGTCTAGGGTTAACAGTTATCTTCCGCCCATGCGCACAGACTGTGCTTCTTATTCTACCTCGAGTGGCTCTCTATCCTTGTACAGAGTGAATATCATTTTAAAAATACCCTTCTTTCTCAACTATGAGTTAATTAGAAGGACTTTTATCAGTAAATTATAATTATCTTGAAAAGGACATACAATCTAAAATAAATATTTTCTAGCTTTTAATCACTCGTAAAAGGTTGATACACCGTAAAAAACACATCAGTCAATTAATAATAAGTATCGATTTACTTCCTTACGAAAATAAATCCTCCACGTTAATATTCCGCGTATTAAAAATCATGGAAAATGCATGGGAGAAACTTTCGTGCTAAATAAAGTACTTTAAATTTAGTACTTAATTAAATAATTAAGTAAATTAAATAAAAATACATTTAAATAATAAATTAAATAATAAGTAATAAATAATATAAAATAAATAAATAATATATTAAATAAATAATATTAAATAATATCAAATAAATTATAAATTTAATATATAATAAAAATCATGGAAAAAGAATGTGCGAAAATTTCGTTCGAAATTAAGTACTTTAAATTTTGTACTTAATTAAATAATTAAGTAAATTAAATGAAAAAATACATTTAAATAATAAATTAAATAATAAGTAATAAATAAAATAAAATAAATAATATATTAAATAAATAATATTAAATAATATCAAATAAATTATAAATTAAATATATAATAAAATCCTGGAAAAAGAATGTAGGAAACTTTCATTGCTAAATTAAGTACTTTAAATTTTGTACTTAATTAAATAATTAAATAAATTAAATAAAAAACATTTAAATCATAAGTAAAAAAAATAAGCAATATATTAAATAAATAATATATATTACATAAATAATATTAAATAATATTAAATAGATTATAAATTAAATATATAATATAAAACATGGAAAAAGAATGTGCGAAAATTTCGTGTGAAATTTAACTTAATTAAATAATTAAGTAAATTAAATAAAAATTAACTACATTTAAATAATAGATTAAATAATAAGTAATAAATAAAATAAAATAAATAAATAATATATTAAATAAATAACAT